AATTGATAATTTCCATTTGAAGGACTATCATCTCAAATTTGAACTGTCTATGTAGAAATCTCTGTTTCAGGTTTCACAGTCCAATCTATTTAATTGCTAAAAAGAAACATTAACATTTGACAGAACTTTATAGATATCTTCAATTAATATGCATCCTTTCCAATAGTAAGTTATAAAATTTTAGCTTCAATACACTGCATCCTATCTCTTGGGATTCTAACATTACACCTTTTTTCAATTGATTTATTTTGTTGGCGCTTCTAAGATGGATACAGCTTATTAAGTTTCCAGAGTAATTTTCCTTTCGCTATGGGCTCAAAGTAGACAGATAGTTTTTAGCAACTTTAGAATGACTGTACATGTGATTCTTGTTCTTCTATACCTACGTACACCATCAAAATGAGAAATGAATGAATTCACTTTCACAGTGTTGACCTGAACATAATTTTCTTAATTTTAGAGTTGTGTATCACATAAATTTCTCATAGGATTCCTATTGGTCATGGCTGTACTCTTGCTAGCCATCCTTGTTTATATCCTTTTCCAGTGTCACTTTTTCCAATGAAAATACCCTTCAAAAGGTTGGCCATTAAAGTGAGTTGCTAATAGCTTATAGCCCTTCCCTGCATCCCCAATAAACAAAAAAATAAAAAAGAAAAAGACAAAGAAAGTTTTTATGTTAAAACTGGTTGTTTCAGATAGCATTTTCTAATCAAAGAAAAATGTCGTTTGAACTGGTATCATTCATTTCTTGCTTGTATATCTACTTAACTGTACGTACAGGTTAAAAAGTGAATGGTGCAGCTCTCCGAGATCTAAGGCATGCCGAGAGAAATTGCGGAGGGACAGACTGAATGAGAGGCATGATCTCTCCCTCTAGATCTCTTTCTTGTGATATATTCGCTTTCTTATGAATTCTCACATCCAAATCTGACATCGTATAGGTTCCTCGAATTGAGCTCTGTCCTTGATCCTGGAAGGCCACCAAAAACTGAGAAAGTTGCAATTCTGAGTGATGCTCAAAGGATGCTGATTGAGCTGCGAACTGAAACCCAGAAGCTGAAGGAGTCAAATGAGGAGCTGCAAGAGAAGATAAAAGAACTTAAGGTGTAATTTTAATTATAGTGCCACTGAATGTCAGTTGTACTCTCTAAACTTCCATTCGTGCTAGTTTTCTTTAGCTCTCTGTTGAGGCACTTCTAAAAGAAAAACTTATGTATATTCAGGCAGAGAAGAATGAGCTCCGTGATGAAAAGCGAAGGCTAAAGGAAGAAAAGGAGAATTTGGAGCAGCAGGTTAAAAGCTTAGCTTCTAAACCAGGATTTCTCTCCCATCCTTCTGCCGTGGGAGCTGCATTTACTGCACAAGGACAAGTCGCTGCAGGCAACAAATTGATGCCTTTCATTGGTTATCCCAGTGTTGCAATGTGGCAATTCATGCAACCTGCTGTTGTTGACACATCTCAAGATCATGTGCTCCGTCCTCCAGTTGCTTAAACTGAATTTGCCAGGTGACTTGCTACTGGAACTTTGTTCTTTTTGTTGCTCCTGTGAGTGCTAAAGGTGACAAACAACTGAGACAATTTGCTGGTTGTATTTATATGTCTAGCTTTTATGTATGAGTCAGTCTTGATGATTTGCTAAATCATGTATATGACGGGTATATACTCACCCGAAAAACAGTTACGTATTATGATTCCCTAGATGGGACTCCTTCTGAAATAATTAAACTTGGTTGTATGCACATTATACACTGTTTTAGCTAAAGCGCAATTGACTCTGAAGACTTTGCTTATTTTGCTTGAGAGGCCATTTTGGTTACTTTCTGCACTCACACCAGAATTCTTTTCCTTGCACTAGGATTAACTATTCCGTGTTTTCTTGATACCCTGGTGCTTGTACTAGATTATACTTTGTTTGCTCTGTATACTTGTTAGGAAGGAGGTCAACCTCTGTTCGATTTATGTGATTCCGAAATTCACATCTAGGGCTTCTAAACTCTGTGAAGCACATATTTTCAGACTATTTGCACTGTGACAACCAATATGTTAAGGAAATTTCAACAGTTAAGTTTCTTTGAACCTTTTGTTAGACATCAGCATAGGTTGTGTAAGACTCAACATTTATTGCCTCTACTGATTCTACTGAATCAGAAAGTATTCATGCTTTAGGGTAGAAAATCTCAATGTTTTCCATTATATCTCGGTCAATAATTTGCACATTCATAAGATGGAATGTTGAAGAAACAACCAGTACTGAGGAAAATCAGGTACAAAATAGAATTAAATGAAACATAAAACGAAAAAATGACAACATCTTCAAAATATTGTTTGAAGGCTTACAGAAGGAACATCATCATAACAACAAAACCAAACCCCACAGTAGAACCAGCAACAACACTGATTTTATCAGCCGATGATGGGGAAGATGTGGCAGGTGCAGAAGCACCAGGGGCCTCAGCAGAAGGTGGCAATCCCGGGGCTTCAACAGAAGGGGATGTTGGAACGCCAGTAGGAGGCATGGCTGGGCTGTGAGCATGGGAGGACTTGGAAGGTGACATTGCAGGGGAAATTTTATGTATGTTTCTGGGTGAGTGTGCTGATGAAGACTTGGGAGATGGCGATGAAGAGGGAGGGGAAGCAACTGGGGGTTTAGTCATGGGAGTTGGTGGTGGTGGAGCTTTGGGGGTTGGTGTTGGTGGAGTAGCCGGTTTGGATGGTGGGGGTGGGGGTGGGGTAGCCTTAGGAAGAGTGTTGATTTCGAGTTTCATTCCTCCTACATTACAATGTCCACCAGTTCCACATATAAAGTATCTCTTGCCTACAGAAGCTAGAGTGATTACTGTCATCCCTCCAGTATAAATTGCAATAGGAGCTGTAATCTGGCAGGTCTCAAAACTAGCCTTTGTGACTTCTAGCACAGAATGGCTTGGAGAATATGAAAAAACTGTCAAGAAAACACAAAACAAGGCATTAGATGGATGGATGCCAACAAGTTCTAAAAAGATAGTCTATCTTTTAGATGGCTTACTCAGATTATCTCCAACGAAGAAAGTTTTCGATGCAGCCCATGCTTGGGCATCAGTAGATTGATCCCATCCACCATTAGGACCTCCCACTGTGTAATTTGTTGCCATGGCTGAACCAAGCAGCATGGCTATAGCAGCCAAGCTCATCAACATTTTTAGCATTGCCATAACTTCTTCAATCAACAAAGAATTAGCTAATTTGGCTGTATTACTGCTGCCAAATTAGCTAATTCTGTATGTCTTGGGTCTTGCAAGATCTTAGCTATTTAATGCAACTATACAAAACACGTTGAATAAGGAGAAGGCATTATTTTAATTTCAAGAGGCACTGACAGCTTGTTCCATAAAAAAAGTCCCCTGTCAGTTTCAATTTTAATTTATTTTGAGTTTTACTTGCATGCTACTCCTTTTAGAGTCCAAATATTAACACAAGAACATGGCAAAATGGTGGAGCATTATACAACAATTCATTCATCAAACGGCTTTCTTCAACGAATTTAACTTCTATGCAATAAAAGGTAATTTCATTTAAATAAACATTGATCGGAAGTAACATGTTAAATTACACTGATATTATAATAAAGAAATTGTGACTCTTCTTCAAATTATATGACCTTTAGTAATAATTAAAATTAAGGAACCAATAGTTTTACGTATTAATTAAGTTTATATGGTCTATTTGTATAGTTGATATTTGTTTGTTGACAAAGAAACAAGGAATCACGGAGAGCATTGCCTAAAGAGAAGACTTATTCCTAAATCCTAGTGAAGGTGATTCTAATTAATCATATACAACTTATAAGCCACCACTATGACTTAAAAAATTATGAAGACAATAATTTTGGACCCTGTCATGTAACTGGATGCACGTTCCACCTCTATCCTTGCTATTCTCTTAGGTCATAATTTATATGACACAATTCAGCTTTCAAAAGTCAAATTTTTTTGAATATATAATTTTTAAGATTTTTGAAAAATAATTTGAAGACTATATAAGTATTATAAGTCACAAAAAAATAATAGTTTAAATATAAGTAAATTGTGATAAAAAAAAATTAATGTTTGTATATCATGTAGTAATTATAATTAACACTAGCTAATGGAGATACTCAAAGGTTATAAATTCATATGGAATCCCCTCCCCACATACACATTTTTTCTCTCAAATTTCATAGCTGGATGTTGAACAGGGCCAAGTCAATTCACAATGGTCAGCTAGCCAATCAAATTTAAAGATAATGATATAACTAGGAGATAAATTATCAAATATATACTTGAAGTATCATTTTTATTTGAGTTACATATTTAAATTATCATTAAATATTTATCAAAACATATTTGGAATTAAGCTGATTATTTTATATGCTTATACTTGTAAAAACATACTAGATATTTTTGTTATGTTGTTTTATTAATTTATAAACAAACTTGATATGTATTACGAGGCTTACACTTCAACCTGTAGTAAGTAAAACACCTCTCCTCACACTTTTAAAATAACGATTATAGTTGATTTCACCTATACCTTGTCTGTAAATAAGGTTAGTAGATAATGAAGTATTGTCTTGTTTTTCAATGAGATTAGGATTGGTGATAGTCTGGAGTACCATATTTGTCGTAGTATTAGCTTTATTCATGTAGTTTATTGCTTTTGTTTGTAATTGTTGTTTATTATGTTTCGATTATCACATTATTTCATTATTGTTATTGTTCCTTTACTAAATGCTCTGCACTATTTTCCGTATTAGTTTTCATGTTTTTTTCATTGTCATTTTTCCTTTTTGTTCTTACTTTGATTTGCTACACTTGAACCGAGGGTCCTTTGGAAACAACCTCTCTACTTTCACAAGGTAGAAATAAGTCTTGCGTATATCCTTTGTAGACTCCACTTATAACCTTTTTTTCTCTAGTACTCTCATCACACAAGACAACAAAAAGGGAAATCTTGATCAAGTTTCAGTCAAAATTGAGACTTTTTTCTGGTTATCTCACAAGTAACGAAGGTTTTCTTACATGTTTCCTAATTTGTTTATGTGCCAAAGTTTCCTATGATATACATCTAATCCAAGTAAACACATATACAAAACTGATTTCCCAAAGAGAAAAACTTTCCCTGACTATGTCTGGCTTCGAATTCTCTTCAATCATTGAACTTAAATGCTCAGAAAACAAACAACTCTGCCATGAACAAACTGTTGGCATCTTGCTACTGTCAAATCTTCTTTTTTTCTCCGGAGCAATGGCTTTTTCAGATCCAAAATTTCATGAGAATAGAGCGCGATCAGATCAGGCAATTGGTGGGGAGACCATCAAATGGTTGCTGAATGTCTCAGGAATATATTGTACTAATGCTGCATGTGAATTAGTTCATCTTCCTTGCATTCTCTTATCGCTATTTCCATAACGTTGCTCGATGTAGAAGGTAATACATCACAACAATGCCTTCTTGGAGTAAGCAACTACATATAACATTAGACCAAAAGATCCAAAAATTAGATACTAAACAATTTTACAGTGAACAGAATTTAGAGAGCAAAAATTTTAAGATACCTGTTGTTTGTTAAGGACTAACTTGTTTGATAACACTCTGATTTTTTTGAGTCTTCTAGGTGAACTCCTGTCGAATTTGCATTTCTCAAATGTTTTCTTCTTGTAAATAGTCTCAGTTCCATTGATGCCTGAAGAAACTTTGTCCAAGAAAAAAACAAGCTGTCTTCGGCATGGATCAGGTTCATATTTCTTTGTATCAAAGTCGTATAATCCACCTAAATGACTGCTTTTCCAGGGAGCGTAGCTCTCTTGTACTCGCTGAACATTTGGTAAAAGCACATGCTTATCAAACACTTGAACAGCATATCCCCAAGACACTGACACAGTCCAAGAAAACCAACTATCATAGCAAACTGTTTGCTGCAAAATTCGATGTGGATCGAAGCTTGCAGCATTGTACAAATGCTCCAGAGCCTTCACTGTTGTCATATTTGGGAATATAGGATCAATTTCTTCCATATGATGCATAGATACCAATGGCCTAATGGGATGTGCAGCCAACATTCCAAACACATTTTTATGAAAATCCATCTAGTATTTCAATTTCATAAAAACAAAACAACATAGTCAGAAATGCAAAATTCACAAAAATGAAAATGGCAGAATACATCAACATCCCCTTAAATCTGTCAGTAAATTCTATCTAGACACTCGAATTACAACATGCTCAGATTGAGCACCTGAATATATAATAAAGTGTTCCCATTAAACACTTCCAACTCAAATTTTGGAAAAATCTTTTGCTCGTGTTTTCAAATGCTCGTTATAAAGATAAGTTAACCACTTAAAATATATCAGCTCCACTGATAAAACCTCATGCATGTTCCAATTGATGTCAATGTGCAATGTGATCAACTTATCTATGTAATGAGTGTGTGTGAACACTGTATACAACATTTTCAAAATATGATCCAAAAGTGTCTAATTGGAACAAATCATAGTTCGACTATCTAAGTGAAATTCACTGACAAGTTTAAGGGTTTGTCGATATATTCAATGTACCTGATGAAATCCGGGCTCACGAGTTAATCCAACACCAAGCTCAGACAAACAAGCATGAATTCTCCCATCACTTCCATACAAATGAGGGTATCTTTCTATACAAGAATCAAAAACTTTAGCCAAAACTTTAGCCAATGGATAACTTATAGCAAAACCAGCTCCACCAAAAGCCATTTCATAAGAAAAAAACTTGTTCTGCATAAAACTTTCTGAATTTGTCCCAATGTAATACCAAAATCCATGATCATACTTAGAAAGTGTCATAACCAAATTTTCTGGGAAGAAAATTGTATCATCATCACCAAACACAAACCATCTAACATTAGTATAATTAAGCCTCACTGTCTCCAAAACGACACGTGCCACACGTATAGCTGATGAGGTCCCACCTTTATGTGTATATCTAAAATTAGAAGTATCCTCAGAAATGCAAATTTGAGGCAAAAAAGATTCATCATCATTTGTATCATTTGATGAAAAATGTGGTATTTTTTCAAGAAACACACAACCCCTCATCTTTTGTTTAGGCTTCCACCAAAGTTTAACATATTCTTTTCTTTTAGCCCAAGATAACTCATTTGATGCAATCCCAAAAACAACATGATCAAGATTTGTTTGTGATGATAAATTATTTTCATCATTTTGTAATGAAATTGAGGTATGAAAATGCTTATTTGGAGCTAGAAAAATGGAACAAACAAAATAAATTATGAAACTAAAACATGATATTATAATGAAATTCTTGAATTTATTGGTGGAATTATATTGTGTCTTGTTAGAAAAATGAAAAATTTGCATTTCTAAGGATGAATTTTGAAGACAAAGGGAACAAGGGGTTTAGAGAAATTCTATTCACTACAAGTCTACAACCCCTTTGTGGAGAAAATTTGACAATCTTTTTAATTTGCTTTTTAGAAAATCAGTTACATGTGTACATGTTTTTATTATTAATTACGAAGAGTTACTAATAGGAAAAGTTAGGTTACTTTTGAGTTTTTGAATATGTAACGCCATGTTTGAGTCCAATTAGAGGTCTCCATGTGGTGGAATTGAGTCAATAATGTTGACGTGAATAAGGAAAAATGGTGAAAAAACAGAATGTGTTTTGTCATATTTGAAGAAAATGAAATTAGTAAAAGTCAATGTGTGTGAAAATGTGAAAATTATGAAGAGGTGTATGACATGTGTTAATTTACGATGGTGACATTTGTACTACTAAACTAAACACAAAACAAGGGTTCGGTTGCCGAACATAATCATCAACTAAAAATAAATATATCGAATTTTTAATTTTGTAATTTTAAATATGTTATATGACAGGTATTTTTTTTTTTTGAAACGGATTAAAAGGGAAAGTAGTAAGACAATTGCTACTTTTAATCTCAAAATAAATTGAGGCCCTCGGCGTCTTCCTCCATGTGCAGCTTACTTGGCCTAATCGAAGACATTTTTAACTTTCTTTCGTACTCTATTGAATATATGTTATTTCAAGTCTGTTAACTGAAATAATTTTTCAAAATCGGAATTGTTTTTCGGTTACAGATAATGAATGACATGGATGAGCCTTTTCTCAAATGGAAATGGACTTGAAATGATATAGATAAGTCAATTTTTTAATGACAAGTTCGATGACACATTTGACCCTTTTCCTTTTTCAAAGTAAGATAAAAGAATTTTGACGTGGATTCTAAAATAGAATTAAACAAGAGACAATATAAGAAGATATTTTTGTTTCGTAGTTTGATAGCTCACATGCATTGCACATGCGCAAACCCTTCATTTAGGAGTTAATTACTTAAATTCATGCTAATTTGCAACATTACAAATCTTACTAGATATTTGGACTTCGAATACATATATTTGACGTGTCCAGATACATTCAAATCATGTATGTCTAATGCATAAGATTAAAATTAGATATGATTTGTTCTTATATCCAAGTGAATTTGCATGTATCTAACTCTCGCATGTATGCTTATGGAGTTAAATTTAATATTGAATATATGCATTTATTTATTTTGATAAATTTAATTTTGAATATGTTACACTTGTTGTTTAGCATTTTCTCAATATTTGCAACTGTATCTGGCAAATGTAAGCAAGAAATGTTTTCAAAACCACAGTTTGATCTGGATAAGTTACATTTCTGGTGAATTAATATATGCCACCTTAACTAAACTTTCCTGAGGTCTGTCTAGGCTCATCTTTCTCCAGTAAAAAAATCAAAAAATTAAACTAATCATAGTTCATAAAAACATAACAATATCAACTTCAGTCCGTGGTATGGCGGAATACACCCAAAGAAACTATAAGCACAGAACTTGCTTATGGCCAGAGATCCATGGAATCGACGAGCCACCAAGGTTTCTCAAGAGTGATTACTACTCTTTCCAGAAGAGATGCAACACACATGACATCCTCCTACAAGAGTTCCTTAATAGTACGGGAGGTAGAGTAACAATGGCATAAATCTGCAATGCCAAGGAGAAGAAAATGAACTTCACTATTAATTCAAAACCACGGGAATAGGCACAAAAGGCAACAATAGAATAACTCGTAGCAAGTAACTCAACCCTCAAAACAATGCTCTAAAGAGAAAGCCGGAAGGAAATGAAATTTAGGGATAAGGAGCTCCACAATTTTGCTTTAGCAATGCACACACCATTCCTGGCTAATTTCACCATGTGAATCAAGCAATATGACTCAAATCATCGTGATTACTACTAAGGCCTGTATATTTCACACTTCAGCGCAAACAGCTGAACCTATCATGACATTTTAGTGATGCTCTATACTACTATTCAAATAACAGGAAATTCAAACCTTATGACAAAAGTCTTAAAAAGGCATTCAATTCGAAAAATACTAATAAAAGAAAAAAAATGGCAAGCTTTAATAGATAAGATGGCTGTGTGCTGAGTCTGCTAAATAAAGCAGTACTAGCCAGCAAAATTCATGAATAATTGTTCCACCCATGTCAATTTCGAATCTCTCTTCTTTTTGTGTGCATACATGTTTGTTTTACATCACAGTTTGCTCAGAGATTCTTGGATATTGATATACCTGCTGCTATTGAATAGGGTGGCTTAACCTGAGCCATGCTACAGAAACAGAACGCTAACAAAATCATTCAAGTACCAATTCCCAGTTTCTTCGTCAGCTACAGGTTTTTGAGGACTAAAGTGACAAATTGTTGTATGCTCTGAAGCCTAGTGTAATTGCACATGCCTAAGTAACGAGGGTGCTAAAATGCAGTTCTTTTCTAAACTGAAGACAATTTATAAGGAAGGAGTTGAAAGATACTTAGGATGAAAAGCATGAAATACCACTAAGATAAATTTTACCCCCATTCAACTATTCTAGTCGCTTCCTTGTACTTACAACAAGATTACCATGCCAAGCCTACATTGATACCTGTAAGTTTTGCAATTTTCCTTCTACAGTTTTGGTACACTTTGTATACAAATTTACCTTTTAAGTATGATTTTTCTTTTGTTATTAATTTGTTAGAGACTCAATAGTAATGCATCAGCAAAAGCTAATTAGTTTATTAGTTGCCCAAATTCTAAAATTTATGGATTTTGCAACTAATAATTTGACAGAGAGAAATCAAGCACGACCAAAGTTTCATAGCAAGTTGGAACTAGTGTCATGTGTTTACGTCTCTCTCAAACACATTGAAGTTCCATGTATCCTTTCTGTGCCTCCGGTAGTTATCATTTCTCTAGGAGAAATTTATTCTAACAGAATTGGAGAGTCTTTCTTCTCCCTGAAGTAGAAGTTTGAGATGCATTAACATTTATCACACACTAGTGATGTCATGTTTCTTTAAAGACAACATGGATATGGATGGCAGGCAGGCCTATATTTCTTGGTTTTGATAGGACTAGGATTCCTGGGTTTTGACAAGGGCCGGCCACCTTTTACTTAAGAAGAGCTAAAGGCCCGAGACATAGCAGGATGAACCAATGTGAATGAGTGTAAGCTTTGTTGCCCTAACGCGATTGGTGTTGACCACACTACGTGCTACCGTGGTAGCAAGAGAGACCAGATGATATGAGTTATTAACTTCAAGTTTCAACGTCAGCCAACATTCTTCTGTGACTTTGCGAATAATCTTGCATATGAGAGTAGGACCTTATATGATTTAGAAATAGCACTGGGAGAAAGAGTCTTCTGTGAACCAAAGCAATCAATAACAGGTGGAAAAAAGAAGACATGTGATGTCTTTCTAACAAGAAAGGGTACCTTATAAAATTCAGAAATCGGAAGAGAGAGTTCTGTCAAGAGACTGCATAACCCCCCACTCATCCAAACCATGGATTGACAGGCCGTTTGTCAAGCAACATTAAGTATCATTTTAAGTCTGCACTGAGATCAACTCATCATGCCCACATTGTCTAATACCAACTATCATCGTCTCATTGATAGGTGATGAAATGTCACAGCATGGTCGACGAGGTGCCTTCAACTGATTCAGGAAAATTAGATATTCAGCAGAAGAAGTATGAGATAGAAATATACCACAAACAAAGGCACAGTAATAATAGTGAGACAAGGAAAACAAAGTCCAGGGTCCATAGGCATGCAGAGAACCTGTTCAACATCGAAGGCTAACTTCTGCGAGAAGACCCTTATCTTTACCAACTTTTTTGTAGGATTACTTCTAACACACTTCCCAACATTGTGTCTTGTATACTCAGTCCATATGCCATCTATACTAGGAAGCACCTTTTTCAAGAAGAAGACATCAGGTTTTTTGCATGGATCACTAGGGTTGCTTCTAGTGTTGAGCATATAGTTTGCAGAAACATTTTTACCCCTTTTCCATGGTGTAAATGTACGCTGCAGCGAGAGAAGATCTGGAAGAAGTTGATTCCCTTCAAACACCTGAACGGCATAACCCCATGCAACTGAAACTGTCAGTAAAATGGACTTGTCATAGCACACAGTTTGTTCCAAAATCCTAGCTGGATCAGCATGGACAGCTTGGAAAAGATGGTTCACTGCTTGAATCCTAGTCATGCCAGGAAAAAGCGGCTCCACGACATCCAAGTGATGAAGTGATAACAAAGGTGATAATGGATGTGCAGCAAGGATACCAAACAGATTTCCTCGAACATCAACCTATTAATAATGAAAGCAATTTCGACTTAATACACAAAACTAAAATCAAGAACATCCTAGGTAGCTTATATACTCACATGAGCACCCTCAGAAGGCTAGTTCATTTAACTTCCATTAGCAAAGAAAATATTTGAGGTTAAGTGAGGTTATGCGTAAGCTCACAATAAGGTAGCATGCCAAAAACTACTCCCTCATCCAATTTATAGTATGTCGTTTTTAGTCTGTCCCAAAAAAGAATAACACTTTTCTATATTTAGAAACAACTTAACTGTAAAATTATCATTTTATCCTTAATGAGATAGTAACTTATAATCAAACTTATATATATGGCTTATTTGCGACCACAAGTTTCGTTGTTCTTTCTTAAACTCCCTGCACACTCAAACACCATCACATAATTTGGGATGGAGGGAGTATAAACATAAAAAACATTAAACACTATTTGTATCAAAACAAGCCTTATTTCAACTATCATCGCAATTGCAGAACTACAATTGAAGAAAAAAATAGCAGTTATGTTCTTTAATAACATGCTAAACAGATTGGCCATAGTTTCCATATGCTGCTAATCAAATCAAACAAAAGATATCAAAAGTTCAAACATTTCCCTGTGAAACGCAAACTTTACAAGATTTCACATAGTACTAACACGCTTTATCATTTGCCTCATATTTTTACAAACTTAGGAATACATACATCTAACAAATGAATCTTAAGATCATCCAATAAGGTCATCTCATGAAAACCAGCTCCAAAATTCCATCTTGCTCTATTAGTTTATAGTTCAAGTTTTGTTAATGAAATCCAAACCCCAGACACAACAACTACAACATACCACGTTTAATCCCACAACTGGAGTCTAGAGAGGGTAGAGTGTACGAAAAGTCACCTGGTGGAATCCAGGTTCGCGAGTCAAATGTACTCCAAGCTCAGCTACACAAGAAAAAATCCTGGAATCACTGCCATACAAATGAGGGTACCTAATCAAACAAGAATCCAAAACCCTAGCTAAACCCTTAGCCAATGGAGCACTTAGTGCAAACCCACCCCCTCCAAATGCCATATCAAACGAATACTTCTCATTTTGCTCAAAACTCTCTGAATTATAACCAACATAATACCACTTCTCACAATCATATTTTGACAAAACTCTAACCAAATTATCCGTAAAGAAAACAGTATCATCATCACCAAAAACAAACCAACGGGTATCATTAAAGTTCACATTTTTAACCAAATCAAAAGTATCTTTAACAATACGAGCAATCCGAATCGCCGAACGACGACCAGCCGGGAAAGAATAAGGAAACTTGGAAGTATCCGATGAAACAAGAATTGGGGGAGATGAAACAGAGAGGGTAGAAATGGAAATCGGGTCGTCAAGGAAAACAACGGCGTTTGTGGAATTGGGTTTGTACCAGAGGTTAATGTAAGAGAGACGGTTAGAGAAAGAAGAAGAAGAAGCGGCAATTGAGAAGAAGAGGTGTGAGATTGAAAGATTAGTGGGAATTGAAGGGGTTTTGGAGAAATTGGGATTTGGATTGAAGGAAGTTTTGGGGGTATGGATGTGATGAAGAAGGAAGATGAGGTAGAAGATAACAAGTGTGGAGAAGATTAAGAGAAGATCTTTGAGGCGATTTTGTGTATGAATGAATCTTGGAACCATAGGCATTTCTACAGTGTTGGACGAACTGAACATGGAAAAAAACTAAGATAGTGATGACTGAAACTATGGAAATCGAACTGTATTGTGAGAAGATCTCAGATTTTTGGTTCTGTCTCTGTTTCTGTTTCTGGGTTTGAATTGTGGAAATCTGAAAAAGTAGACCAAATGATGACACGTGAAAGCTTGGTAGTCGATACTCGTATTGAAATTCAATTGAAATTTGAGTTCACGATTAAAAGTTTCATATTGAATAGGCAAACAGTCTTGTACACGTAAAGCTTTGTCATATATTTGTCGTCCTTATTGAATTGAAATTCTACTGAATTTTAAATTCACATTAGAAAATTTCTTGTTAAATTAAAGTGTCTTTTAACAAAGGCGATTCAATAGGTAGTACCCAAACAAAGAGCGAATTTATAAAGCTTTGTCATAGATTTATTGTCCTTATTGAATTGAAATCCCATTGAATTTTGAATTCATATTAGAAAAATTCATGTTGAGTTAATGTGTCTTCTAACAAAGGCCACTCGATATGCAATAACATAAAATGGAGTGAATTTATCATCTTACTAATGATTTTGTCCATGTAAAGCTTCGTTATATCTTTGTCGTCCTTACAAAAATTATTTGTCTAAAAAAATAATTGGAGTTTGAAACTATAAAGAAGTTTACATTTTATTTTGTCATTTTATTTTTAAAATAACATATAAATAAAGTAAATATAAAGAGAGATTATCTCTGAAAATGTAGATTAATGTAAAATAGTAAAACACCCTTCTTATCCCATGGTAATATAATTTTAAAAAGCGTATAAATAAAAAATAGAATAATATTTCGAGACCGAAAAAATAAGTAGGGGCAAACAACAACATTTAGGCCGAATGTAGCAAGTCTTGTGCTATAGTGACCCAGATAATACACAAATTATACGTATTTCATTTATAATTAGTGTGTATTTTATCTATTTAAAAAGTGATTATAATTATTTTAATCAAATGTTCTTTTAATAAAAAGACATTCTTCAAGAGGAAACAACTAGTAGAACAATTCTAGAAGTTCAGAATAAGTTGGTATTTAACTATAGAATTTGAAACCTCAACTTCAAATTTTGATTGGAATTTTTATTGATGAAATTTACACAAAACTTCAATTTCAATTTCAATTTCAAAAACCACTAGGATTTAAATTATTTATTATGATTTAATCTTTTTAAAAATGTAACCCATAAATTTATATTTTATAAAAAAAAATCATGTTTGACGTAAAAAGATTGTATATACTATGTGGAACAAATATTATATCAAATAATAGCTAATTACTAGTGAATCTTTATAAAATTATGTATACTTGAAAGTTTGTTATAATATGTAATCACAAACATTTATCTATAAAAGGAACATGAGGATATATGATTTATTAATGCAACATCTTAGGATATTCCGATACTTTTATTTATGAACTATAGTTTGCTCATTTCATAAGATTGGTAAGAGTTGAGAGAGTTTTGATAATTTTCACCAATTATGATACTTTAATGTTTATGAAAATGTAACTTAAAAAATTTAAATCACATATCTAAATATAATTTTAATTTCAATTAACATGATTTCAAATCACTGATCTCGAGTCGTTAATTTGAAATCATGTATCCTAACTGATCATCACATTGGGGTTAGTCAAAGTTACAATTGTCACAAATGCTTGTAACAATGAAACATTATATTTTCTCCACAAAAAAAGAAGAGTTTATAAACAAATTATAAAATTTAGGGAGACATTGTAATTAACTCATCAATCCCACATGGTCTGATTTGAATATCCATAGATTTCTTGGACGACGATGATATGTCACAACACTGACGACGTGGCGCCCTAACCTGAAACATTTCAAGGCAAAAAATATTAAAATAAAAACTTTACTTTAAAATATATAATAATCAAACAAGTTTGTCAATAGTTCACAAGTAATTCAAATATGCATGAGAAAAAAGTTTAAATTTGCAAATATTGAATGATCAAACCAAATATTATTTGCAAAGTATTTGTAATCTTCATGAATTATTTTCCATAGATATCAAATAACTCGATTCATCAAGGCAAGAACATATGCGAAGAAATTCACTTTTTTTTTGTTTCTGCTGAAAATGAAACGTGAAACCTTATGATGCTCAACTTACGTCATTTATCTGATCACTAGGCCACACCCATCAATGTTTTTTCTATTTGTATGTTTTTCAACATCAAAATGATTCAGCAGGACAAAAAAAAAATAAACGACAAATGACCTATCGCCGGATGATTTTACTATTTATACAAGATCAATAATTTTTAGGTATATAGTAAATATTGATCAATCCCCTTAGCTTGTTGATGTGTTCCATTCTATTTTAAATTCTTTTACTGAAAAATCTGATTCTGCGACTACTAAAAATAAATGGAAGAAGCAAAATAAAAAAATGATATAAACATAAATGTGTACCTGTCTAGTATTAGTATCCAGCTTCCTAGAGTGGACTCTAATCTCTTCCAAATTCTTGATTACTTTATTGCCATCTTTTGTGCAAGTTTTTCCCACAACTCTATGCCTTGTATAATTACTCCAAACTTTATCTCCATTTGAATCAACACTATCCAAAAATGCAACCATTTTCTTGCAAGGTCCCCTAGATTCCACCTTTGTCTTAAACATAAAATATGGTTTTTTCTTATCTTTATCCCACGAATCAAACGACCTTAAAACTGTTATAAGCTCAGGGACTTTAATGTTGCCCTCGTATACTTGTATCGCGTAACCCCATGCCACTGCGATAGATAATGAATTTTTTCGATCGTAACAAATAGTTTGTTGTGATATTCTTGCAGGATCAACATTAGCAGCTTTGAAGAAATGTTGTAGAGCTTGAATTTTGGTCATGTTAGGGAACATTGATTGTACATCTTCTATATGATGAAGTGATAGTAATGGTGATAATGGATGTGATGAAAGCAATCCAAATAAATTTCCCCATAAATCATCCTGACAATAAAATAAAAGAGATGAAATTATTATTTATTACAAATAAGTAGAAATGTTTCAATAGATGAATATATAAAGCAAGATGTCATGAGGTGAAATTTTGTTATTAAAGTAATAAGATCTAGTAGTTTCAAATTTTTTATATAATTAATAAAATTTAATATTGTCTGCGCATCATGGTTCTAATACTTATGAATTGGAAATATTTGAATAGTAAATAGGGAACAAAATAGACGTGGAGGCTTTAAAAACAAAGAAATTATTGGAGTTTTTGCTGAGATGCTTTTTTTAAAAGTTTTTTTCCCACATCGAAACAAGATCGACTATACTACATTTAGTCAATACAGAAACAAAAGATTATATTATTTTTTTTCATTTTTAAAATCCTTCTTTCATAGATAATCACTAGTATTCCTCTTGATGGCGAAAAGTCCAAATCGTAGCTGGGAGATAGCCAAATTTCAAAATAAAAGTGAAAAAATAAATAAAAAATGTGAATGCTCCTGCACTATATTGATGACTTTTTGGCGATAGGATTGGGATTGGTCTCAGATATCATTTCTCGAGTTCATTATTCAAAAGATTACTCGACTATCCAAAAATACCTAATAAAATCATGTGCTTTTTAGTTTATAACATAAAAATCACTTAACTTTGTCAGGAGTGACTCAATTTCTTTAAAAATGAGGCATCTGTCTTAGGCCTAAAAAATTGAAGGCTCAATTTTATTATAAGCCTTTTTTAACAAAACAATATACTATATTAGGAGTATCTTTTAATTTATTTATCTCTTTTTTAATTCGTTTCGAAACATTAAAAAATGTTTCTTTTTTTTTGTCATATTTTTAAATATAACTTCCACATGAGATGTTTAAGACCACAAGATTAAAAATGTTATATATATGTTTAGCTTAAGACCATAGAAAAAAAAAATTATTAAAAAGAAAGAAAGAATTTTGCAACTCAAAAATAAAAAATAAATAATTAAAAATTAGATTCTGATTTATTTTTTACATTAAAACACTAATTAGCTTGAACCGCCATTAAACTATGTTTATTCAAAACTTTTGGTGGTTGAATACCTATTTGTCCTCTAAATTAACTTGTTCGTCTTTTTTCTTTTACTATTTTAATATAATGATATACTTTTTTTCTCTCTTTAATCTATATTATGGATCTCAATTCCAAATTAATTGAGATTAGTTATATGAACCATTCACACCTATATTTCGCACTATTTCCAAAAATATCGTTGATAAAATAAGTTTTAACATATTTGATTATATCAAAGAAAAAGTCTTCCAAACAATGGATTATCTAAAGGAACAAGAAAAACAGATAAAGAATGAAATATCAACAAAAACAAATTCAAGATATCTTATAATTAGATTTTGAATTAATTTTTACATTAGTGAATTTTTAACACACATATAAGTATTTATCAAAGTTCCTTAATTCTCCTGAATTTGTAACTAGAATTTGTATTTGTATCATTTAATCAAAGTTAGAAAGTAGTAATATACTGTCTTCTTTTCAAATTAGTTGTCATATTTACTTTTTAAAATTTAATTTGACTCATTTTTAAAATTATATTAGATTAGATCAGCTCAATATTATACTTAAAATTTTGGTTTTCGAAAACTTGTACAAAAATTAATACAAATTGCAACATTTCTCATATCAATTTGATGAAAAATCACATTCTAAAATATTTATCAAAATTCATATAATTTGACTCTTAGAAAGTAAAACATGACAACTAATTCGCGATGGGGTAACAATATTTTCATAACTAGAAGTAAAAGAGAGCAATAACACTAAAATGTTTTACTTACTTGATGAAAACCAGGTTCATGTGTTAAACTCACTCCAAGCTCGGCCAAACAAGAGAAAATCCTAGCATCACTTCCATAGAGACTTGGATATCTCATCAAACAAGAATCCAAAACCCTAGCTAAAACCATAGCCAAAGGTCGACTTATTGCATATCCACCACCACCAAATGCCATATCAAAAGAAAAATAATTATTTTGAACGTAACTCTCTGAATTAGACCCTATATAATACCATTCATTATGATCATATTTTTCCAACATCTTCACCAAATTATCCACAAAAAAAATCGTATCATCGTCTCCAAAAATGTACCATCGCACGTTAGAATCGTTACGCGCGACCACTTGTTTAATCATGTACGTTAGGCCAAGGGCATAACGTGCACCCGCACGATGTGTATATGGGAAGCGAGACATGTTTTCATAAATAAGAATCGATGGTAGATCGGTATTTTTCGGAGATTTATAATTTTCTGACAAAGGATGGTCTAGAAAGACGTAAGTTTTTGTAAAATTAGGTTTGTGCCATAAACGGATGAATTCTTTGCGTTTCGAAAAGGTTTTAGAGGAAGAAGCAATTGAGAACACAAGGTGGTTGACGGTGGTGGTGGTGGTCGGAGATATTTTTGAGATGGTGGTGGTGGCGGTGGCGAAGGCGGAGGAGAAAGAGGTTAATTGGTGGAGGATGGAAGAATGGTAATTGAGAGTAATGAAAAAAATTGAGATAAAAATAAATATCAAGGAAATGTCTTTGAAGCAAAATGTGTTTTTGAAAGCTGACATGTTTAATGTGATAAAAGAGTTTGAGTGAAGTGAAATGACTTAACTGAAATGATTTGTTGTACATATTTTTTTGGGACAGATTCAATGTGTTTGAAAATGTATTTTAGTACAATATCTTGGTAGATCTGGTGAATCTTAGACTGGATTATAAATACTTATTATTATTCCTTAAAAGCACTTTTGGGGCCTATTTGGAAGGATCTAATAATCTATGGAATAAAATTTGGGTGTAGTTTGACTTGTTTGTTTGGTTATATAATTATTTGGTTAACATAAAATTGAATAATTACACTTTCTATATCTCAATGAAGGGGAATATACTATAATCAAATTTAGTGTAATTAATTACAGTTTGACTTGTTTGTTTGGTCAAATAATTACTTGATTAGAAGAAAATTAGATCTAATTGAGAAGAGATAATTACCCTCCCTAATTCTCAACGGGGGAGGGGGGTAGGTTGAGAATTGTGTAATATATTTCTTGTGATCCTATATAATTGTTCGTAATTTTTTTATTATTTCTTTATTTCTCAAAGAATGAGTCAATTCATTAACAAACTTGGAATAAAATGAGTGATGTTATAAAAGTAGAATTTTGTTGTTGAATGAGGTTTTAGAATTATATATGTTTTTCATTTTCTTTCGAATTTCTATTTATTTTCTTTAATTTAGTTACATTAGAGTTTGATATGAGAGTATTATGTTAATCTTTTTTCTTTTAATTTAGGTTATGTTTTCGATTTTAATTTATTTGCTTTAGTACTATTGACTAGTTATATCACATTGTAATTTTCTCTTACAACTGATGGATTTTTTTGGGTGAAATATTTTAATAATATTATGGTATTATATTTATAATTTTGTTTGTCAAATATCCACTCCTTGATGTCTTACGAATGTGAATATATAAAAATTAATATATTTTCAAACAACAATATGTATTATAACTACATTATAATCACATTATGATAAACAAATATATCATCGTACAATATCATGATTATAATTACTATATTGTATAATTATGACTACACCAATTCTAATTAGCATGTAATTCCAAACAGAGTACCCTTAACAAACTTTGTCTGATTACTCATCCCATAAATTATAGAGATACCTCCTTATTTTCATTTTAATTGTTTTTTTTTTTGGCTTTTTCAGACACATTAAGAAGAACAATAAATAAAATTTATTTGGTTACTAAGTTATTTTTATTTGTTAGATTTGTTTTTGAGAATCAAGAAATATTATAAGGGTAATAGTTGAAAACAATTGCTAATTTTTGTCTTAAATTTCTACAGTAACAATTATTTGGGACATTTATATTTAGCTAGCAACCATTACAACAGAACTAAGAGTCTCTATGTTACATATACTACTAGTTTATATGGTCAAATCAATTAAATGGCAACAATGGCTACATGCATGTCCACAATAGTATATAATTTTAACCTCATAATAGGACCCACGTGGATTTCAGGGGTTCACCCAAACCCCCTCGGCAAAAAATTACACTGTATATATAAGATAAATTTTATATAATTTTGTAGATATATATATTTTGAACCCTCTCAATAACAAGGAGAAGCTGATGACGCAGCGGCAAGTCCTTTGAAATTAAGCTTCATGTTACTAGTTCGAAACCCCTTATTTACACGTTTATACTTTTATTTTTCAAATCCCCTGAATAAAAATCCTGAATCCGCCACTGCTCATAATAGAACAATATACTTTTAAGAAAATCGTCTAAAAACATAGGAAAGTATTATGTCGAACATAAAAAAAAAGAAGTTAAAAATCATGATTTAATAACTGCAAAAGGAAATGACGGACGTCTCCGGTCTCACGTCTCCTTGTTCCGCCTATTCTTAATTTATTAATTTGTACTCCGCGAAATTTATTGACAGACACTTAAAGTTTATATGATTTTTCATTTTAGATGTTTATCAATGAATTCCGTCTGTATACTCTCTATTTATATTTTAACCATCCGAGCAGTTATGAATTTGGACACCACAATGAAAATAGTGTACAATACAAGCAGATCACATAGTTTATATTCATCGGCTTAAATTCTCTTTACCGATGAAGGTTGCAGTGAAATGAATAAGATTTTTTTAACTTTAACTAAAAGTCTCGAGTTTGAGTTCCATATATAAAAAATCTTATTAAGGGACGCCTCAAATAAGCCCTACCGGGATAAATTCGAACTAGTCGGAATTCCAATACAAAGTCTTTAGGGAAAGAAAAGGCTGAAAGCAAGGTACTTTCAAGTTCCAACAAAAGCTTAAGAAAGCAACTGCATACTTTTTTAAAAAATAAATAAATTAACAGCACTCAAATTGCAAAACCACTCAATTATTTGCAATTTTAATATTTCAAAGTGAAAGTTGAAGAAAAAATAATTAAACAAATACATTATTATGGCCAAACTTATTTACGACTCTTCACTGAAAAGTCGAATAAAAAGAAACGATGTTGATGTTCACATTTTGCAAACGATCTTCCCCAGGAACTTCCAAAACACATAATAGTATTTTTTTTCTTAATGGACTAATAGAGACGGAATTAAGATTTAAAGTGTATAATTTTAATTTTTTTGAGTTCTAAATTAATATCTTATACTTATTGTGTAGATCTTTTAAAATCAAAATCATAATAACTGAATTCAACCGAACTTGTATCTCAAAAAGACTAGCTTCGTCCATCAAAATTGATGGTGTATAATATACCAGATGTTAACTATGAAAGTTATACTATATTGTTTGCAACAAAAGCAGGGTCAAAGAAAATGACATCCACAATTGACGATCCACGTCTAACAACAAACATTAACTAAAAAATCACAAGTGAAATAAATCAATAATCGAGGTGAACCCAAAATTTAAAGACTTCGGATGTACCACATATGATCTCTAAGCTAAATTTAAAATGAAAATAACGAAATTTAGCACTCTAGCTAGATTGAAACCCTGATCTCGTGTGTAGTTTCTCTGCCAGCATTCATATGCTTCTTATGGACACAATGTTAATTATAATTTAGTTTCTATCAATTTCTCATTATATATACATATATATATGCACATAATTTTTCCCCAAAATTAACAGGTCCACATACCCGATTACGAATCCGCCTCTGATAGTACTCTTTTAAGCCGTGGCCACTTGGTTAACGACATACTCTGGGACTCATATCCACCTGTCGTTTTGGTCCAACAGCTGTCGTGAGTTGTGATATATGAATCCCATCAAAATGATTTACTAATTTTTATTCTCATTAGTTTTAAATTTATTTGTCATACTTTAATTTATAAAAGTAAAAGTGACTTATAATTTTATAATCTTAAACATGTCATGTGAAAAATTAAAACGAAAGAAACATTATTTTAGTTTAAGATGGACTAAAACAAAAAGTAGAATAAACAAATAGCGTTTAATTAGTCGAGTCAAGTGTAAGATTTTCATTTCTTATTATAAAAAATATCAGACAATATATTTATTAGTTTAGTCGATATTATGCTCATTATTATGCTTCAGATGTCCAAATCTAGTTATATCGAATTGTTAAAATAAATATAATCTTCTCTTGGTATAATCTTTAACAATTCTTACCTCGTACTAAACTATGAAATTAAGTTAGGCCATTTTCATTTCTTATCAATACCAAATTTCAATCACTTCAAGATTTTTTTATTTTATTTTTTTGCCACTTCAAGATTTTTGATAGATAATAAAAAGGCTAGCTGTTGAAAAAATTCATGAGTGGAGCCAAATCAATTTTCCAGATGTACTAATTTGAGCCCATTCCAAGTCTCAACCACAGAATAAGATACTTGTTTCACAAGCCAAAGCTTTTTTTTTCTTTCTTGTAGTTTCAGACACACAGCTCATCCATGCACGTTTATGGATTAAAAAAAAGAATCAGAATTCAGAATAAAAAGGTGTCTAATCAATTCTTTATAACCTAACAAAAAGAAAAATAAAAGATTGTCACATTGTGTGGATGTAAGGGTAGAGGTGGCACGTACGAAGCCAAATAGGATTAAGAGGTTCATCTGAACTTTTTCAATAAAAAATTATAGTTCATCTGTCTTAACTTATGTGACTTTTCATTTTTCAAGAGTCAAACAGTTGAAGTTTGACGGGAAATTTGCGCGTGGAATCTTCAAGTTTAAATTTATATATTTGTAAACTATATAAAAAGTGTTATAAGTCACAAAAATTGACAATTCAAAATAATTAAAATATATATGAAAAATTTACGGTCAAAGATAGACTTATTTGAATCTCGAAATTCGAAAAATATCACATAAATTGGGACAAAAAAAAGTGTTGTTTATTCATTAAAAATTATAGTGAATGTTAATTTTATATACCATTTTTTCGTGTCTACTTTTTAGATTTTGAATTTCTTAATAAAATTTATTGTTTGTCGAACATTAAAAATTCTGAAAATACGCCTCCGAATTGAGGATTTTATGAACTAATCCGAAGGTGGGGTTCCATTGTTAATGACTTTAATTCTTGGCCATACAATTCTTCTTTCTTTAATTCTAAAAATAAACTAACATGACTTAGTAACCACTCATCAAAAAATATCATGGCTCATGACATTGTACAACCCCCACCCAAATATCCCAAACATCTCTTTAGAAGTTTCGTGCCTTAATCAAGTACTAAGGGGGCATTTGGTTCAAAATAAAATTATTTTTGTAAGATTATAATCATGAAATATCATTTTACTTTTATAGAAGAGAAGATTGTCGATATACATATTTTATAATAAATAATTAGTATTAGCTCATATTAACAATCAAACGGTGGATAAATACTAATTATTTCAAATTAATATTGGTATATATGGAATTTAGAGAGTCATTCAATTTTTTTATATGATTTTTAAATATTTTAATTATTGTAATTTATAATATTTTTTACTTCTTTAATTTTTTGAATAAATAATCGAATATTTTAAGTTGTTAATTATTATTTTCTTTAGTCCATGTTAAGTGAATTGTTGAAATTCTTTTTATAGTCTAAAATAAGTGAACTGCTCAACGTTTGAAAAAATTGATGAAACTTTTCTCCATGTTTACCCTTTATTTAAATGAAGTTTTTAGCTACTTTACATTTGCTAGGAGAATAGTTTTGAAATAATAAAAAAAGTATTAGTGAGTAGTTTTTTATTTATGTCCTTAAATATTTTTCTTAAGGGGTGTGTCAAACCTCAACAATTCACTTAATATGGACTAGTGAGGGTATAATTTATACAAATTTTAACATAATTTTCAAATATATAACAGATTAAAAAAGAAAGTAAGACAAATAAATTGAAACAAAGAAGGTACTAAAACTTTCATAAATACCCTCGACTAGAAACATACATGTTGACGAACAGTTGCCTCATGCCTGCTTCTAATAGAAGTGGCCCCACACGCTTTGAGCAAATCACTCTTGATTGCAAGCACACAACTCAAACAGACATGTCGTTACATGCTTATAGCCACTTATTAAAGTAGTAAAAATGCAATTTATTTATTTATTTTGCTTTTTTCACAAATTAACTAGAGTCCATCATCCCATTACCACCCAATTTTTACCAATCAAACCCTTAAGATTCTCTCTCTCCCTTCTTTTTAATTTCTTGCGAAAATCAAGACCATATTTAGCATTGGTGGATCCAAAGTGTAAATAGGATCTCAAATAAATATTATATGTAAATTTTGAAATGTATATATACTTTTATTTTTACTTATTTTTCACATACATACAAAATTTAATATCAAAACATCAAAAACATTATTGAATCCACCAATGTTTATCCCGTCTTATTATTAAAGGTAACAAATAAGAATCAATAACAAAAGTGGTTTCTATATGATCAGAAAAAACATGTTTATAATAATTAAAGTTAGTTATATATTGTTATTTATATTAAAAAAAACTCTTGTATTTAATTTACTTAATTAAGTCTAACATAATAACCAAATATAAAAAGTAGATGTAAAAATTAGTCTAAAATAGTTAAATAGTGACCACTCTATATCCTATAGTGACAATGTTGTTTTCCTAACCACATTTTCCCCATGAGCATCGTGTTTAATTACAAGCAAGGATTCCCCCAAAACATGTGGCAATTGGCAAATAACATGTGGCAAATGAAATAAGAAACCCCCCC